CATGCAGCCGCATGGAGCAAATTATTTCCCAAAATTTTTACCTGAAGCCATGCTTGCGGCCGCAAGGAAATTTATACCATGCGGCCGCATGGTAGAATGACTTTTTCACCGGACAACTTTCAATATTTTGATCATATCTTTCGTTCCCGATATCCGATTGAGGTGATTCAAATTGCATTGGAACACTTACTCAAAGGGCTACAAATATTCCTGAAATATAAAACTCCAAATTCGAATGTCTTCTATTCCAAAAATGGGTCTCAAATTAAGACTGCAAATTCGAAGCATAACTTTTTCGGCTGGAAGTTGATTTGTGATAGTACTTCGCCTCTATTTCATCCCTTTGGCTTCTTCCCTCATCCAATTGATGCCCAACACTCTCAAATCTTCATCGTGGGATTGACACAACTTTTCAGTATTTGCAATTGAGTCCTTGAACTTTCGTTTTCCTCCATTTTGGTCCCTTTTCACTCGTTTTCACTTACATTTCATTCCATCTATCAATGTAGTCCTACAAACACAATTTCTATCGAATTAAGCCATATTCAAGCATTTATGTCAACAATTAGTCATGTAATGTAGCGAAATACACATTAGAAAATGTACTTATCAGATGTTCATGCAAAAGGATGGCTCTATTTATACTGGAATTTTTTACACCGCCTGTATCGACAAGGATTATGGTACTCTTGAAATTTTCAAAAATCCTTCTGGGTTTTGTTTATTACCTCTCATCCTTTGTGGGTCTTGGTTATATTGGGAACTGATGGTTCTTTTGGTTGTTTTGTGATGATTTAGTTCAGTTTTGCCATCTGGTCTTTGATTATTTTTTAATCACGCAATTAACTCATTTATCATTTTTAGCTGATTAAATTAAAAGTCATGATTTTGAGTTTGGATTCTGTTAATTTGTCGTATTCTACTGTAGAACAAAGCTTAAGGCAATTCCTTATTTGTGCACATTTAAGTAAGTGTAAATTAAGTACCTTTCGAATGTATAGTACTGCTCACTTACTAGGCACATTGATGACTATTAGAGTTACTGTCTTGATACCTTTTTAATTGATTTATAGTAAACTGATTTCTTCTCTTTGTTATTCTCTTTCATTTTTTAATACTTGGTGTGTTTGTGGTGCATTTACTTTAGTTCTTTTGCCTGTTGAGATATCCTGGCATTGATCTTGTGTGGTTTCTTACTATCTCAGCAGTAAACTGCATATTCTACCCTTAGTTTCAAAATTTTCACGATAATTACCTTCTGTTGTGTTGGGACATTGCAAAGCACAACCTTTAGTGATCATGCTTTTGTCTATTTTTTGATAGCCATCATAATGGTCACTCTTTATGTCTTTCTAATGTTGGTACACTTGCCCATTTTATCTTGAGATTGTTCTATTATTTTTGCAGAATCCTAGACATTGATTTTCTTCTTTGTTCTCAAGATTGTTCAAGTTTTTAGAGTCCTATATTTTTTTTTTTTTACCCTCTTTGTCCTTATATGTTCTTTTACTTTCGACATAGCCTCCGTTTGGCCAATTCAGATTTCATTTTCAATCATACATTTCAATGAACATATAAGTACTATTCACTTGTACACCACTTAATTATATCTATTTATAAATTGCACCGTGTATAAATTCTTCCCAAATGGAGGCATAGTCTTTCCTGTTTTTCGAGATCCCTTTTTTTCTTAAGTTTTCTGACTCGTCCCCAAATTCCTTCTGTTTATCACTGACAGACGGTTTGGGGATGCCTTGGGGGAAAAACAGAGCAATCACGGGGAGAACCCTGAGTTTCAAGATGATAAAACTGTAAGTTAATACCAGAATAAGCCCACTACATTCAGTGATAGTTTTAACTTACCTAATTTTTCGTCAATTAGCATAATTCATCTCTCTTTATTTTGCAGATCTGTGAAGTTCAAGGCTCAAGTTTAAGCTGTGAGTTTCTTTCATACTTCTTATTTGGTGCAATAGTTTGATAAAAATAATGTATTTTGGATGCCCGGTAGGATATGAGTTTTGTAGGGCAAACATGGATCTCTCTTGGAACTTAAAGTGATATTCGGTAGAAGAGTCGACGAGATCTTATTGCTTTTGTACTTCTGCCTGCCAAAATCTTGAGAGAAATGATTGTGGAGGGCAAGAAAGGCTTTCTGTTCTGTTCATGGTGCTGTGAATATTACCCAAAGTATGGATTTAGGAATTTTTAAATATTTGTGGATTATGAATTGAGGAAAAGGTTTGGTTACGAAACATGACCAAAGTTAAAGCATAGCATAATCACCTTGTTGACTTTAAATCTGAAATTGCAGAATCTTATGAACTCAATGAGGGGTTAGGTTACTGCCGATAAATCCTACTACTTCCTAGGTACCACAACGAAGGTTGGAATTTCTGTTTGAATGTAGGATGATGTTAATTTCTGTTTGAATGCAGTAGCATCGTTATTGGAAAGAGACTCCAACGATGATGAACTTCGCCGAGTCATAAGTCAATTTTATTCTCATAAAAAAAATATTATTTATTACTCTATTTTTCTTCCAATAATAAGAGACAAACATACCCTAAAGTTAATTTTATTCTCATAAGAAAATTATAATTTATGTAATCAAGAAATTATATTTTGGAATATCAGAATATTGTTAGTGACATATTAATTCAATGATAAATAACAAACTTAATTCAAATCTAATAATTACGACTAATTAAAATGTTTATCATAAGTCAGACTCTAGATAAATATCATTACTCTTTTTTAACACTTTTAAATTTCGGAGGATTTTGTAATAACTAAATTTTGGTTGTTAAAATAAAATATGGGTTCGACTAAAGGACCATATTGGCTCGGTGAAACATGCATAGGCCATCAAACGAGCTTTGCTATCATGACATGAATCATTCTTATTGACACCCGTAATTGATCAGTACTGAATGTTTAATATCGGAAAATTATATAAAATAAAAACTTCGATGACCAAATTGAAATATTTCAAGGTGACTAAAGTTAAAATTTGATAAAAGGTAGGTGACCATCTCAGCAAGAACTAGGAATGAGAACCCATCATAAATACTGTAGAATTCCAAGCAATTCAACGTAGGATAGATCTATATGTACATAATTATTGTACATAATGGATTACGTAGGCCTATGTGGAAGAAATCCGGCCGTGGATGTGAAGTGTGAAAAAGTCAAAAATCNTGTGAAGTGTGGAAAAGTCAAAAATCGTAAACTATCAATAGATGCGCGCTACATATCAATTATGTAAATGTAATGTATTATATAAATGATAATGTACTTGTAGCATGGTCCTTCAACTTATGCCAAGCGTTCTTCTTTTTCTTCTCTTTGCAAATAATTTTTGCTCTCCAATTTGCCAACGATAGGATATAACATGCCGAGTCAATTTTTGAGGAGGAGCAAGAGGAGGAAATTTGGTAGCGACGATGCATATAAAACATGGAGAAATGCAGATATGGACGTTCTATGGGAAATTTTTCTTCTCCTACCAGAAGAAGATTTGTTCTTTAAGATTTCAAAGGTTTGTCAATGGTGGTGATATGTATGTTGGGAAATTTTGTTCTGGGTGGATTACCGTACTATAGATTTCTCAGAGTTGCGGGTTGTTCTTTATAAAGGGTATCGTCCACGCAAAATAATGTCAAAATCGAAACACTCACTCATTGTTGATACTTATTTTAATGAATTTGGGATAGGTTTAAAGTACGAGAACATATTACTCCATGGATTGAACTGGATCTTGGGCTCTGTTGCATATAGAGATCGTCTGAATTATGTTACAGAAGTTTTACCATTTGATATTTACACAAGTGATAACAACCTCATTTACATTGGCAAAAGTTATTATTTTCTTCCCTTATATGTTGTTTTTATATAGCTCCGGCATATTTGCTGAATTCTTTTCCATGGGGAATTTTTATTTCTTTTGTCTTACAATTTATTGTCTTTACTTCTTTTTAAATTTGCCTAAGGTTACCAAATCTTAAAAAGTTATGGCTGTCGGAAGCGGAATGGGTTTTTAGATATGGGTTTAAAAGGGCTAGCAGGAATTGGAAGAAGCTGGAAGAGTTGTCGATAGGAGGACTATACTATGAGCACGTAATATTTTTTACTCTTTCACTGAGCAGGAACTACAGAAACTTGAATTCGTTATGGTTATCTGGTTTTAAACTGCCATTCTCTGGAGGATACAGCCTTAAGTTCGACAATGTTATTTCCTTGCACATTAGAGATCTACGTCAGCTTAGAGATTTGACAATTACAGGAGCTGGGGTACACAATGAGGGGGTAGAGACTATCATGGCCAACTGTGAAAAGTTATCAAGGCTAAATCTTATTAACTGTGCTCGATTGGACCCTGGAATATATCATCTTCCTGCCATCTCAGTAGAAGTGAAAAGGAATCATACAAAATGGTACATTGACGCACAAGAGTTGTCGTCTAGCATACAAGAGTTGATTGAGCAGTTATGAACCTTGTGACGCTGAGACGATGCTTGATATGTATGTGGTTAGTCTATCTGTTTTTTCAACTTTTGATGTAGTTTTAGTCCTATCATCCTCAGGGACAATTTATGCAAGTTACGGATATGATTATACGTTGTCATACAACTTGTGAGGTTAGAATTCTTGATTCCTGGATAGAAAACAGTAAAGATGGAATTGTTGTTCCTACATATTTGCAGTATTAATCGTGCCAGAATAAAAATTAAATGCACAACAAAAAGATAAAGTCCAACTGCATATTATTATTCTTTATGAAGATATATTTCTCGGGGAAAAGCCTTTAAGCAAGCAAAATTACTGGAGAGGACCATAATATCCTTAGATCATAGAAAATCATAGTAGGAATCAATAAGCGGAGGACTAAGTAAAAACGAAACGGAATCAAGAAGTAGAGTTAATCCCCGCCCCTAAATCACACACATTTTCTAAGACACTTCCTAGCAACTCTTTCTATCTATGACCTCTTTCTTAGTTTTATTGGTTTCGAGGATGAAAGCCATGGATGCTTTCAACATCACTTTCAGCTTCCCAATTGTCTTCATTTTGAACTGCATGGGCTACGTTCCATCCTGGAACAGTCGGTTGGACTTCTGCTTGATCACCTTGTCATCTTCTATTTGTGGATCTCCTTTGGATTCTTGTGATCCAAGTTCTCCCTTGGGGAAATTTCCAGAAAAAAAAAAAGATAGTTTGAAAGGTTCATTTCTACCTGTTCTGCTACCGGACCACCAACTCCAATATTATTTTACCTTATGCACTAACGAATCTGATGGTCCTTTACGTTCCTGTGCTTGCTATGGTCTTCGATATGTGAAACTCCTCCTGACTCTTCTGATCCAAGTTGGTTTTTGGGGGAATAGCCCAAAAAGTTTTGATAGTTTTGGAGGGTTCATTCCTACTGAATGTTCTTCTATTGGACCTCTAACTCCAGGATTCTGTACCTTCTGCGCAAACAAACCAGGCGGCCCTAACTGGGGCACAGTTGGAAGTTCCTGTGGAGGGTTGGGAGGAGGCGGATATAATCCTTCCTCTTGAGCCCTGTAACAAGGATTATATTGAGTAAACTCTTGGTCTAATCATCTGAAGAAAATTAGATAATGCTTTTAAATTATAGAGTTACTTTTTCTTGTAAAAGTGCAACATCTTGTAACAAGGCAACGATCCAAGATTCAGGAAGATTTCAAGAAAATAATCTTGAGAGACTCCCTGTGACTGTTGGATGAATCAAGAACATAGATGTTATATACCAATAAAATGAAGATCATTCAAATGCAAAAAGCACAATAGTGTTCTGAACTAGATATGAAATATATGCAATCTCCTATTCCTGCTTAGAAGACGAAACTGAAATGGCTACTACGATCAACTTCATATCAAGAAGTTCAAGAAAGGACTTGTTTGTTCCTAGTACTTTAAAATGAAACTGATATATGATTATGAATGAAGAATTTAAGAACGTGTTATTCTATTCAGAAAGATGAACAGATTGAAATGTGCGAATCAAACCAGATGTAAAAGAAAGAAGAGAATAAATTTTTCTATGTTTAATAGAAGAAAAAACGATAATGCAGATGGGGATAGCTCCAAGAAAGAGTTTCTTGATATATGTATACCTGTGGAACTGTACTCCAGAAAAATGAAACTGAAACTAGAGAAATCTGAAAATGTTAAAAGAGTTACTGGTCGCAATATTTGAGGTGAATTTAAGAGGGGTTCGGAGCATGCATGCTGGGTGGAGTTGGGTGGTTTATATGAATAAGATGGGGGATGAAACCGCACTAGAACCCAAGATGATTTATATGGGGCATTGCTTATTTTCAAAAAAAAATATCAAATTTTTTAGTGGAATATCAGTAGGACTGATAGTTCATAAATGTAATAAAATAGGATTTATCAATATCCAAATGAGAGGATTTTATTTATTTATTTATTTTGAAGTACATCACTTGCATTTTTCTCCGTGGAATGGGATTGAACTTGTAAAAAATATTTGCAGGAATCGCAACGAATTTCACATACTAATTTTTTAAAGGGCACAACCGGTGGAAAAGAAGAAAAAAAAATTAACAGAAGTATAACTGATATAGCCCATGTTTGATTTAGATAAAAATTAGATTTTTAGTAGATTTTAATAAAAGTAGATGTAATTTGTGGTTGAAAAGTTGTGGATCTAATGAAATATGTGGTTAAAATTAATTGTTGCTTTGACTTCAATTTTAAATAACTTTTTTTATTGAACCAAATAGCGTGTAATTTTATATTGTATATATCAATTTAGGACCAAATGTAAATACTATGGGTTAATATCACATTTGGTAACCTACCAAAATTTGGAGTTGGTTCTTAAAATTTATTGTCCAAATCAATAATCGAAGTTAACAAATGGATTCTATCTTCGTTGTGTTTTTCTCTTCATAATAACTAATTCATTTAATTTTGCATGGAATAAGATAATGACTACTTTACGATGATTTTTTCACACTTATAGAATAATGACACGAACCTCAAGGACTCCAAATAAAAAAAAAAGTCAACTCAAGTCAATGTTGACAACGGCTAGCGAAATAAATTATGAATGCCAAAAAGACCACTTTATATTGAATTATACATAATCAAAGATGAGTAATTCACAACAAATTTCATCATGTAAGTGAAGATACATAATGTAAACTTTTCTTTACTAAGATATAAAATCATACAATTTCTAATTTCCTTAGACAAACAAAAACACAAATTTGTTTATTCACCAAAAATAATCTTGCTAGGGAGAAATATTGTGGGCATCCATGTATCAGTATGCTTGCTCTGATATCACATTATGGAACACCCATGAGGATTCTCATCACTGAAAGTATCGCCGGTGCGGTTTCCAAAAATTGTCGAACGTCCTTGGCTGCCACCGCTGTACGAAGGGACGTAATTATGATCATCGTAGCCATGCTTGTAGTAGTTATAGCAAGAGGATGAGGGCTGAGAAGCATAGTAAGTTGAAGGGCCACTGTAATTCTGCTGATAATTGTAATTCCCAGCATAATTACTATTTCGTAGCTCTGGATTATATGGAAACTGCCACACTTCTGCTCTTCTTCCAGTTTTCCTAACAGTTTTCAACACTTTCTTTTGATCAGCATATCCTGTCACCGTCACCTTTTGCATTCCCATGTCTATATCTACGTCGTCTACTCCTGTTTCAACACGTGCAATATTCATAAATGAGTGACGATGAGTAATTAACTTGTTGAAAATTAAATTTAAATACATATGTCCAATCTCTTGACAGTTTAAACTTTGCTCGAGCGCTCATGTTTTGCCCCCATTAAATTAACTTTTACTTTTCTCTTTCGTCTTATCAATCACACATTTTCCAACAAAATAATATTACACGTAAAACTAAAAAAACTCATTCTCTTTTAACCATACATTTTCCAAAATATTAGGACATGCTCTGTTTACTGTTTTCAGACCATTTTCAATTTTCAGTTTTCGAAAACACCGACAACATGTTTACTTACTTATTTTCAAAAACGAATTTCCAAAAACGAGTTTATATTTACAAAGAAAACGAAAAACCCAAAAATAAAGGAAAATTAACAATAAAAGAAAGAACACAATAACATAAGAGTCTGTTCTCTTTGCTATTTTTCGATTATTTTCAGTTTTCGAAAACATTGAAAACACGTTTACTTACCTATTTTCAGAAACGAATTTTCAAAAACGAGTTTAAAATTTACAAAGAAAATGGAAACCGCTAAAAAAGTCGTTTTGGCCGTTTTCAATTAAAATCAAGCCAAAACTTCATTTTTTTACTTTTGTAAATAATTTTTCAAAATGACAAAAAGAACGCGTTTTCATCAATCTCAAAATGGATACTCAAAACAAAAAATCCAAAATAAATTCAAAACTAATAACTAAAAATTGAAACACGAAGAAAATAGCCACTTACTATTCCCCTCATTATAATTTGGAAAAATGGAGCCCAAACTGGGGCGAAAGTTGGATGAATGAAGAAAGAAGGTTTATGGAGAACAATTTTTTTATAATTAGAAAATTGAAATACCTTTAACCTTTTGGAGAGCTTTCTTGATCTTGTTCTCACATCCAGCACAGTCCATATGTACACGCATTTCAATAATCTGAAACAAAAAATTACAGATAAAAATACAAAACTTAGGAGGGAATATACGATCTAGCCATTAGTCGACGAAAAAAGTACCGTCATCTTTTTATGTAGACCTTGAAGAATTCTCAATTTTGTATCGAATGACTAATGAAGAAGGAACATCTGCTCATCTGCATGTATGTATATATATGTATATACTGCTTCCAAATTTATTTGTTTTCCTCCAATTCTTTCGTATAATAATAACTTAAAAATATTCTTACCATTATAAATTATAAGTTTCAGTCTGCACCGACCATTTCCTTCTCTTCAGGTACCAGTAATTGCAGAAAAATGCAAGAAGTCAAGGAAAGCTCATCCACACGTTAGCCATGTATAGCTGTTGATGGCTTTGATGCAATTAGAATTTAATTCGTGGAGTTGACTTTTTATTATAAACCCAATTCCATAATTGAACGTTGGAGGTGGAAAAATGCATGTGAACGCGAATGAAATGGATCATGTCTTGTGTAAATAATACTATATGTGTGCTTGTTGATGGATGAGGTTTCTTAATTGGCTTCCCTTTTGATTTCAGCTTAATGAATTTTGATTCCTGATTACGTTACGACTATGATGACGACTAGATTGATCTGTTAATTGTCACTAACACTACCATTTATTCTTTAGAAAAAAAAGGCACTACGAACCAAAAATTTGTACACGATTGTGCTTGCATCTGTGGATGTGAACTCGATGCCCTCTACTTTTCTCCAATTATTACCTTATACTGGACTTTGTTTTCCCGTTTTCTTCCTAACTATGTATTATTAGTAGCTATTTTATTGTAAAAATTAACTGTGTATGTGTGTTAAAGAGGATGAATCAACTTGCCAAATTTTTTAGTTTTTACACTGAAATTATATATTTCTCTCTATTTGACGAATTGGCTTGCAAAACATTGACCAGCTGGCTCACAACGAGCTGACAAGCCCACTTGGCCCGCAACCCAACGCCTACAAGTCGACGAACGGCTCGTATGAAAAATTCGATGCTCGGTACATTAGTGGGCGAACCAACAAACTTAACGGTCTAGGAGTGGGCATGTGTTGGGTTGAGTTGATTTTTGCTCCAACCCAACCCAATATTGTCGGTTTGTTCGAAATTCATCCAAATCCAACCCATATAAATATTGAAACCCGACACAATCGTGTGTCGGTGGGGTTGGATCGGGTTGGTCAATTCGGGACAACTTGTCACACAGATTAAAATCATCCAATTTTTGGATTTAAAGTAATAATAATATAGTCATCCAATATCAATAAACTTGAAAATTAAAATAGTACAATCCACCAAATATTCATCAAAATAATTAAACAAAAACGATTACACATTTCATTAAAACGAACCACGATAGCACATTAGCATCCTAGAAGCAAAAAATTAAACTAAATACACATTATAGATATACCTGAAAACTTTACTCTTGTGCCCTTCATCATTTTCATTCAATTTTGAATTCATGGATTCTAACTCTACCAAAAAAAATAAATTGATTAAGTTCACAACAAAATGCATAGAAATAAAATCAAAATAACAAAATTTATGAAAAATATATATATTACCTTCATGTAATTGGTTATAATGCTCAACATCTTCCATATGGAAACCATCTAAATTTGGAGAAGTTTTCAACCAATTTTGTGTGCATACCAGGGCCTCTATCATTTTAGGACTTAATGAACTATGAAAAGGATTAAAGAGCATTCCTCCAGTGTTAAAAGTACTTTTTAAAGTAATAGTTGAAATTTGAATTGTCAACACATCTTTAGCCAAATTGGACAAGAAACAATACTTACTTTTGTTAACCTTCAATCGAGAACATCAAAGACCTTGTTCTCTATGCTTTTATGAGCATCAAATGCGTATCTTTCCACATCATTTTTTATTTCATTACAATCTTTTACTGCTTGTTTTATCAAAAATCTAGAAAGACGAGTTTCACTCATAGAAAAAAATTGCCTTTATCTTTATTAAAATAAATCAAAGACTCATCAATTGATATTTGACTGCTTCCATGAACACTCTCATAAGCCACATACCACTCATAAATATCCATTAGATTAACTTTCAAAGATTTCATCATAATACTAACATCTTCCCCATCCATGTATAGATCACTAAAACAGTATTCAACACAATCCATTTTGTATCTTGGATCAAGGATGGTAACAATAAGTAATAACCGATTCACAGTTTCCATTTTACCTTAATACTTTTTTAACTTCTTCTTCATGTTAGTCGCCATTTCACCGAATAGAAAATTGCCACTTAATCTCCATTCATCCAATTTCATTACAATATTACAAATTTTGTGAAGATAAGCACAAGCACTAAAACCATAATGAAGCACTAAAAGTCAAAGTGACATTACAAAATTTTTTTAGGAACTTGACAAACCATTTTCCCAATCTAAACTTGAAGGAGGTCCACCTCTTTTTCTACCACCATCGTCTTCCCGAAAGTAATGCAAATATAGAGCATCATCTTCTTCTAATCTATCAAAAGCTTTCTCAAATTTTAATGTCGTTTTCAACATCAAATAGGTATAATTCCACCCGGTTAGAACATCCAAAAGCACAATAGACTTGCAATCAATCTTCTCTTTCCTCTTACACTCCTTCAATTTTTCATTCATAGCAGGAGAAGATTTCACATATTTGATTACATTGCGGATATTCACAATAGAGTTATGTGCTTCCCTCAATCCCTCACAAACAATCAAATTGATAATGTGTGCACAACACCTCAAGTGTAAATATCTCCCATCTAGATCACATTCATCACTACCTCAAGCAATTAACTTCCTCCTAAGATGAAAAATAGCCACATCATTAGAGTTTGCCTTATCAACGGTGATTGTAAAAACTTTTTCAATCTCCCAATCTTGCAAACAAATCTCAATCACTTTCCCAATTGTTTCTCCCTTATGATTTGGAATAACACAAAAACTCAAAATATGCTTATTAAGTATCCAATCAGAACCAATAAAATGTATTGTAAGAGGTATGTAATTAATATTTTGAATGGAAGTCCAAGTATCAATTTCGAGGGAACCCCTTTGACGGTGAAAAGAAAAGATATCTCTCAATTTCAGTTTTTCATCTAAATACATTTGATAAATGTCTCCAACGAGAGTCCTCCGAGATGGAGCCTGAAACTGAGGACATGCTACACTACGAAATAGCCTAAAACTACGAGTTTCAACAAACCTAAAAGGTAATTCATCCACTACTACCATCTTAGCACGTGTAACTCCACACTCTTCTTTACTTTGACCAATAGCAATAAGATTGCTCCTACCACCCTCTTTTTTGTTCTCAAAAGAAAGGATTCTTTGCCTTTTATCCACCAATCTACCTGGATACTTCTTACAATTATTTGTCAAATGATTGCCTAATGCTTTAGTGCCAAAAGCATAATCTACTCCACAATAGTTACATTTACACCTAACATGTGGATCATCCTTTAAGCCCAATAGTGTAAAGCGATCCCAGACATATGAAGCTAACCTTTTAGATTTCCGCTTATCTAATGTTGACAGTGCACGTGGAGTAAGACCCGCTTGCAAATCTGTATCATTTGATGGAGCTTCTGTACCATGTACTTCACATTCATCTATATCAATCAAATATATTCCACCAAAATTACAAACATACCAACTAGATATATTTAATTAAAAGTATTAATGCAATACAAGAAAACCAATAATACTGCACCTGTGGCTATATCGATTTTAGTATATGCAATATTCCAATTTTCAAAGATCAAATAGCAACAATATATATAATATGCTTCAGCAATTTGGGTTTCATTATGAATCAAAAAATCAAAACCAATAAACAAAATCATTATATAGATATGAGCACCGCTACTTGTACAGAGGGTGATTTGGTTTATACATATACTTACACATGGGGTGTGTGGGTGGGTATTTTTTTTTATTTTTAATTACAGTGGGGCCCACCACTGTGAGAAGGTGTAATGCACGTAATTATCTCACCATCTTGAGCATTTGCATCTGTAAAAGTATTTATGCAGATTATTTAAATCTTTTTTATATATGGAATTATCAATCTGAATGTAGCATATGTATCATGTTCAGTCGTTTTTGATTTGTGCAGCATCATAGATGTAATAATTCTTTTTTTTTTGGATATAATTTATGATCTTCAGTTGTGTAATTATAATGTAATTTCCTCCATCCATCAAATTAATTAAATTCATAATTTCTACCAAAAATTCTTAAAACACTAAATAGATATGCGAGACATTTGCTCTCTATGTCAGTGAGTGAGAGGAGGTTACGGGCAGCGCTATGTTCTTACATAATAAGTGTAATGCGACATATTTCTCACTTTTTTATTTATCTTATCAATTGTGGATCTAGAAACAAATGATATAGAGTCCTCCGAGATGGAGCCTGAAACTTAGGACATGCTACACTACGTAATAGCCTAAAACTACGAGCTTCAACAAACCTAAAATGTAATTCATCCACTATTACCATCTTAGCACGTGTAACTCTACAATCTTCTTTACTTTGACCAATAGCAATAAGATTGTTCCTACCACCCTCTTTTTTGTTCTCAAAAGAAAGGATTCGTTGCCTCTTATCTACCTATCTACCTGGATACTTCTTACAATTATTTGTCAAATAATTGCCTAATGTTTTAGTGCCAAAAGCATAATCTACTCCACAATAGTTACATTTACACCTAACATCTGGATCATCCCTTAAGCCCAATAGTGTAAAGCAATCCTAGACATATGAAGCTAACCTTTTAGATTTCCGCTTATCTAATGTTGACAGTGCAAGTGGATTAAGACCCGCTTGCAAATCTGTGTCATTTGATGGAGCTTCTGTACCATGTACTTCACATTCATCTATATCAATCAAATATATTCCACCAAAATTACAAACATACCAAATAGATATATTTAATTAAAAGTATTAATGCAATACAAGAAAAGCAATAATTCTGCACCTGTGGCTGCATCGATTTTAGCATATGCAATATTCCAATTTTCAAAGATCAAATAGCAACAATATATGTAATATGCTTCAGGAATTTGGGTTTCATTATGAATCAAAAAATCAAAACCAATAAACAAAATCATTATATAGATATGAGCACTGTTACATGTACAGAGGGGGAGGGTGATTTGGTTTGTACATATACTTACACATGGGGTGTGTGGGTGGGTATTTTTTTTTTTTATTTTTAATTACAGTGGGGCCCACCACTGTGAGAAGGTGTAATGCAGGTAATTGTCTCACCATCTTGAGCATTTGCATCTGTAAAAGTATTTGCAGATTATTTAAATCTTTTTTATATATGGAATTATCAATCTGAATGTAGCATATGTATCATGTTCAGTCGTTTTTGATCTGTGCAGTATCATAGATGTAATAATTTTTATTTTTTTTTTTGGATATAATTTACGATCTTCAGTTTTGTAGTTATTATAATGTAATTTCCTCCAGCCATCAAATTAATTAAATTCATAATTTCTACCAAAAATTCTTAAAACACTAAATAGATATGCGAGACATTTGCTCTCTATGTTAGGTAGTGAGTGAGAGGAGGTTACGGGCAGCGCTACGTTCTTACATAATAAGTGTAATGCAACATATTTCTCTCTTTTTTATTTATCTTATCAATTGTGGATCTAGAAACAAATGATATAGGAACCTGAAGAATCAAGACCCCTCCTGAACAAACAAGAACCATGATCATCAATATCTATAGAAGTAATTAAAAACTGGAAAAAAAAAAAAACACACATTGGTTGATAATTTTATTCGACTAATAAGAAAATCAAACATAGAGAATTGAATATCTTCATTCTATAGCCACGAAAAAAAAATGAAAAAAGAAAAAGATGAAGGAAGAGATGGAAACACTTGGTAAAGAAAATGGAAAATAAACTTTCAAGACATACAATATATCGACGGTGCAGGCCGGCGGTGATTTGATGTCCGATTAAGTAGACGGCGAGAGCAACACAGAAATGAAAAATTGAGAATTAGGGATGTTCCAAATTATTTGGGTACTTCAAACATATAATTGAATTTTTTTGAAAAAAAAAAAAAAGCTAGTCGAATTGGGTGGTTTATATCGGGTTTTATGGATTTACCCATAATCCGACCCAACCTGACCTGCTTAGCTTAGCCACAAACCGAACCCACCAAAAAAATTGTAAAAAACTGACCCAACTCGATCGGGTCGAGTCGGTTCGGTCGGCTAGGTCGGGTTTTGCCCACCCCTACTTAACATCCCTACGTGCAAGTAGATAAGGTGCTTAGCAACCATTTAGGTGATGGTGAAGTAGGTGAAGTCCGCTGCTTCATTATCCATGAAGCAATGGACCATCATATTCAACTAGGTTGTGACACTAACCTTTGTCTATTTCCCTTTACGAGTTGTGCTACGAGTACATAGCACAATACATAAGATGACACACGGAAGCCCCCAATTGGGGGGAGGGGCACGTGCCCGTAGACACCCTCAATATGGGGCTTCCATGTGTACATTATGGCAAATGCTACAAAATCATATGATGACAGGAAGGAAAAGAAGAACTTTGTATCCATTGGGTGGGTCCAATAAATCCCACACAACGTTGTTAGGAAAAAACAAAGAAAGAAAAATTTGATGCCAATCACATTCATTGAGATGAAGAATTGTTCAAAATAACTTGTCTTGATGTGTAAAGTAAAAAATAATACTGCTTTACAATTTTGGGATTAGAAAAGTTTAGTCTAAAGTAAAATGAATTCATTATTCTCACTGAAAAAATTATTTTCTTCTTTAAACTAATCGAATCAACTTTAAACTCAGTTTAATCCACACCGACTTGGTAAAAATTAACTAAACTTTGTGAAAATCAACCTTAATCAATTTTCTCCAACTTCTATTGTTTTAAGTTTTAACAAATAAACAAATTTTTCTATAAACAAAATCATAACACAAACTTAAAACTTTGTTAGAAATTTCTATATACATGAACACAAAATTTCCAAATCAACCCTTCTATCCCTATTTCTACAATACAAAAACCTCATTCAGGTATACTTTGAAGGGCAGGCTTCCAAGACTGTTGATGAGTCTCAAATCCATCACTGACGTTCATTAACTGTGTTAGAATCTGCTGTACTGGTAATCCTTGAATATTTTCGCTGCTCAAAAGCTCCTCTAACTGCTTCTTGGAGATTTTGATTTTGACTTCTCTTCCTGTTTCTGTGGAAGGGCTCTTCTCTTCTGTAGAATTATTCATCGAGTTGCTTTGAGTTTTGGAGTCGAAAGAGCCCCAATCTTCACCACCCCATTCCATTGAGGATTCTTTTCTGATGCAATTTCCCATAGATTTGTTGTTTTGAAGTATTTATGTGTATTTTTTGTATGTAAAGATTTTGATGAGGGAGATCGAGTGTGTTTTTATATATAGGCAGGTGTGGTGGTTGGTGACTAGGTGGGTGGAGGTGGGGTGTCCTACCTGGCAGGTGATGGAGAGTTTGACCCCATCTTCTCGGCGGCCCCACGCCACCTATTTTTGGTTGGTTCAAGGTAATGCGGTGGAGCCACCGCCTCTTTATTTGTTGAAGCCTTGAAGGAGTCGGTAGATCAGCTTGGCTAATTGAGCCGGTCATGAATGGAGTTTTTTATTATTATTATTATTTTTTATTTGATAAGCCGTGCAAGATTAATATTACTAGAAAGAAAGAAAGTCATCTTGCTTGATATCTCCTCGATGATGAATTAAACGCGTTTAATTAACTCCATCTGTGTAATAAGGTTATTTCGTATTTATCGCTCAAATATTCATGTAAAAAGCAGTGAAAGACGAAAAGATAACAATCATCAGTATAAATAAATTTAATATTTTTATATATTAGTAATTACTTATTTTTAGTAAGATTTCTATTATAAAGAACTCAGTTGCGTAAACTTAAAAAATTTAATAATATTTTTTAAGTATGCTAGAAGAATTTTGATCTTTAAACATATTAGACACTGTATCAATTTAATCTATTATCGGAATTCACTAATATCTACATAACATAATATTGATAATAGAAGCATATTTAAAATGATATATATAAATGTCCAAAGTGCACAATAAAAACATAATATCTTTAGTGGATAATCTTGATTTAACATTACACCTAACTTGTCTTTCTTTTTTGAAATTTACACTTCTAAATTACTATTCATTGAAGGCCAACCACATATATTTTATTTAAAAAATATTATAATAGTTAATGACAAAGTGACACGTACATAATTCAGTTGAGTAGATCACATATGTATTATCAATATATTGAACTATAGAAGAAAAAGAAATAATCATTGAGCCACGGTGTGTTTAAGTTGATAAAGTCATTTACCAACTTTAAATAGGCCGAAATTCAATTTAATTAGTACGGAACAAACAAAACTTGAATTGTAAATGAAGATTACTCTAATTTTACAATCTTATCATTTACTCATTCATAGAATTCCTTATTCCTATGCAATACATGATATGCACATTTGAATTAGTAAGGTTAAAATATGCCCTTGTTTGAAGTTGATTTTTCAGAAATAGCTCATGTTTAGTGGGGATTAAAATTAGATTTTCGGTTGATTTTTATAAAAGTTGATGAAATATATAGTTGAAAAATTGTGAATCTAATAAAATGTATGGTTAATATTAATTGTTGATTTTAATTTAGATTAAAATTTCTACCGAACGGTAGCATAATTACATGAAAAATGAGTCTTTTGGAGATTATCAGATTATGTGGTCAAAAAATAGAGAAAAAAATAAAAAAAAATGTAAAAAAATATTTTTTTTGAAGAACGCGTAATTGAATATAAGTACGAGAGAAAAATAACTTTGAAAAAATCTGTGTAAGGATCATCTAAGGCGTTTGAAATGGTCAATGATATAAAGCCGAGACTTAAGACTCAAGTAAGCCGACCATCGGCTGAGAAACGGATAGATTTATATCAATGCCACCTAGTGTGAAAGGGTCTGGCATAGAATCTTGCACATTAAAGTTGAGGAAAATTGCAACAAAGGCCCTCAACTATTTTATTTTGTGTAAACAGATTCTCAACAGTCTATTTTCTTTCAACATTCTGTTTGATCTCGAACTTTTTTGACATTGTAGCGACTTTCATCTTCAATGTACGTTTCTGGTCCATCTGATTTAAAAAACCACATAGGATCATGTTTTAAAAAGTAAAATATGTAAGGCATAACCTGCGATTTACCTCCTTCACCAAGGTCCAGGGCAGGGCAGGGCAGGTGGGGGCCGCTAAGGATGCGGTTCATCTTTTAAAAAGTAAAATATGTAACACAATTCAACTCTCAACTCACTCATGTTCCACTTGATTTGTAGCCTCAACCCCAAACCCTTCTCTTGTGCCCCTTCTTCCTCCAACCCACTTCCCCTTGGTGTTGAAATAGGCGATGCTAGATCTAGGGAGGTATATGTAAGAATTTTTTTTCTTTCTTTATAAATAAAAGTGAGGGATCTACTTACTCTCACATCCATAATAGGAGACTAGCAGTTCAATTTTCTCAAAAGTAATGTGAACGCATCTCTGGAGAAGGAATATATGATCTCTATTCACTTTCATGTTGGATTCCTTTTATGGTATCAATCATTATCACAATTCAATAATACTACTACTACGTAATATTACTGGTCTTATAGTTAGAGATGGCAACGGGTGAATATGGGACGGATAGATCATTCTCACCCTCATCACATTCGGTGTTTTTGTCACCTGTCTCATCGCCACACCCGAGCAAAACGAGGCAAGTCCCTTGCCCCTTTTTTTTGTTTATTTTATTTTTTGCTTTTGTTTTTTTATATCTTTAGTTAGTAAATATTTTTTTTTTTAATTTCTTAAAATAACTCATGCTATCTTTTAAAATAATAATAAATCTTTTATTTTTGTTTGATAAAAACTCAAATTTAAAATTAATTTTGAATGAGGTGAGTATCGGTGCATGGACTATGTTTCCCGTACTCCCTTCGAAGCGATGACCTATGTTCGTCCCTACCTCGTTTACCCAGTTGGCGAGTAGTCCTCAACTCATTCGTGGCAGGACCTCCTCAAGTTTCGAGTTGAGGGGATTTTTTTTGCTATCTTTACTTATAGTACATGGCTAAGTGATATAACATATTAAATGTAACTTATTTTTATTATTTTAAACTTATTTATCAATTAATAACACTCGTATGTCGTCTAGACCGATGTTTAATTCCAATAATACTAAGTCTATATTTGGTGGAGATAAAAATCAGATTTTTAGTAGATTTTGATAAAAGTTGATGAAATATGATGATTTATTTTATTTGAAGTTACATCAAGGATTACATGATGTCATTTGTGCATTATGTGACCCTTGATATACATGTAGCAAAGTCCGTGATGTGATTAAAATTAACTGTTGACTTTGACCTAACCAAGCAATTGCATAATGTCACTTGTACATTATGTAACCCTTGATGTACACATAACAAATTCCGTGATGTTATTCAAATTAACTATTGATTTTAGCTTAAATTAAAATATAAACGTGCTAAATAACATTACTGGTCATAATTAGACACTTTCTTCCCTAATTCATTATTATCGTAATCATTGTTCTCATCCACCTAGCCGACTCGGTAATAAGTACTGCTTCCCTTGTTGGGTCAAAGTATACAAGCTCTAAACATTGCAGAAATTATATTAATTAAGATTTAAAATGATCGATAGTGGAACTAGTCTATATGTAGGAAAATGCTTAGTCTTCACTCTTATCATATATGAATTATGTCAATTAATTCTGTAGTTTGTAATTAATTGGTAAATGAACTGAGCATTGGTTGAAGTTGTCAAAACTTTATTTTGTATTTGCTCTACATAAATTTTAGTCTTTATTTCAGTATTCTTGAAAGTAATCACTTTAGTTGATATCATAAATTGATTGGACGGTATAATCAAGTATTGAATTTGCAATTCAAAACAGACTTATGCCTACTCGATTTGTATAGGAAAGAGAGTATGCATGTTCGTACATCGAGTAGTTGATATGTAATCCTTGTTCCAATGAGGTGATGTAGATGCATTCTTAATTGGAAGCGTAAAATGAATTGAATTTCACAAAAATAAACTAAAAACTGACACAATCTGTGTCGAACCTAATCTGTTACTGAAAATATTTACGCGGTTATTGAAAATCAATGTTGATGGCTTCCCTCGATGGGCAGACGAGTCAAAGTCCGCTCACATTTCCATTTTTCGTGGCCAACGGGCGGTTGTTGTTTATTTGTGGCTTTGACGAGTTGGAGCCAAATCCATTTAAATTTTAATTGTTTCTTCATTAGTTTACTGTATTTTGATCCATTTTTAACGGGAAATAAATAAAGACTTTGACCTTGATAAATCAAGGTACTTGTCTAATGAATTTGGTTAAAAATATCTTTGACCTTGGAATTTTGATGGATCCAGCCGTCGACATATCTTCACTCATCTTCCCTCCACGTGTATGTTTCTTGTACACTTGAACATGTAAACATTAGAGACACGAGACGGAGGCTTCTTCAATGAAAGGAGTGAGGTCACGATCGTGCACACTCCAACGCACAAATAAATAAATGAAAAAATATATTTAGTGTGATAGAATCACAAAAAGAGAAAAAAAGTGAGATTTGAGTTTATATCTTGAGACTAAAATTATCAATTACCTTCAAAAAGATGCAAAGTGTGAGTATTTATAGGCAAATAGATGCAGATGACGTTCTCCGGATGTTTGGCGTATTGCCTTATCCATTAAATCACAAGTCGAGCTCAATGACGTCACACAATAACCATCACTTGTGATATCTTACACACCATCCTAGGCAAATAAGGAGAGATTCAACTATCAATTGCTTAGTAGAGATGTCATATCAATCAAATGACATGTAACTCAATGTGTCGTGTTGTTTCTTGCACAATGCACTAGAGATGTGACCTCAACCATCTTGAACTCAAGAGCCCCATCTAGTGCGGCTAGGTATTGAGTATCTTGTGGTCACCTTAGATAGGAGGGTGATGTAGAACAAATAACTGAATGAATTGAAGAACAATTGGATCGGAAAGGAAAAAAGATAATAGCGCAAGTTTGGCGTTCGAGCTTCGATTTGAACCTATAATACCATTTCAAAAAGAAAACAATGAGACAAGTAAAACTCACAAATTCCCTACGACATACGATGGATTTTACTCTTCCGAGTTCGTTTAGGAGTAGAAATCTTCTTTTAAAGTTGTAGTGCTATTTTTGTCATTTAATTTATTTCAAATTCTTTGCAATTTTAATTTGTTTAAACAAGATTTTCA